TCAGCATGCCTATCAACTAATAAAATCAAAAATTTGCCATTGCAATTGTGCAAAAGCGCACTGGGAAATGTTGGCCGTCATGGGTGAAGAACTGTCTAATTGAAAGTAGACCGAGCCTCCAGTTCTTTTCATGAACGGTGCACTCTAAAGTTTACCATCTGATTCATTGATCAAGTGGGGTGAGATAGCATTAACCGGGCATTAATCGTGGAATGATTATTGGCAAAAGACTAGCACCCCCTACCCGCATCCCGAGAACCCTCTGTTCATCAGTGCAACCGATCGTAAACTCGATAAAAAATGAATGAGGATTGATTTTCATTTGTATTGTATGTCAGTGCTTCACTTGGTGATTCTAATACTACTGACTGTGTTCCCATGTTGTTTTACGAATATGAATACAAACTGTTCGCAAACTTCGATCCGAATGGAAGCTTTCGAACTCATTGCACAAGCTTACTGTTGAATCTTCAAGCGACTGTTTCTACACTGACATCATTCTCCTATGTGATCGATTTCATTTCATTAAGTAAACAAGTTATTGACTTCGAATGAACATCCAACACCTAACCACCGTCATAAAACCCGTGAAAATAGGACTTACTGTGATATTGTAGTCCGCCACCAACTGTCACGTCGTCCAGTGCTTGGTGATGTGGCACCCACTTCTCTTCCGGAACGTGTTGGACCTGCGACCTGTTGTGTCTGACCTCGTTGAAGTCGCCAGTTTCGGCGTCGTTCAATCAGTCTGGTCTCTTTATGTGTCACGCTTGTGTTTTTACTGGCCATTTCCCCCCGGGGGAATGAGTCCTTCACAACGATAATGGTGGGCGCAATCAATCCGTGGAACCCACGCACATATATAGACACACACACACACACACACACGAGACTCCGCCGCACGAGCTGGTATGTGTGATTTAGGTCGACGCCAAAAAACCGGTGGACTATCGACGTGCTAGTGTGTTTTTATTTCTCTTGTGTGGGTCACAGTTGGGGAATCACACAGTACTCGGTCCAGTTTAACAGCTCAGTCACAGGATAGTGTTTATGTAACTCAATTCCAAGTAATCAATTGTCTAATTATTGGTGAACTACCCAGGGTTGATGTTCTCTCATGATCATGATTTGACCTGCCGCAGTTCACGTGTAATAACGATAGGAACACGAACCAGACAGGGATTTTGTACACAAAAAACTATACCCACTTCAAATTCGTTTCACGGGCTAGTTGAATGATTCCTATTCAGGTGCAAATAAAGAAATGAGATGCAAAATTGGAACTGAACCCATTATACATAACTAAAAACAAACACTATTGGATCACGCTGCATGAACTCCAAAAACTGATTTTTGATTGGATAAAATTTCGCTGAGCAGTTAAAAAGCTGTACCTGAGCAAGCACAATTCTCATTGGTTCACTCAAACGGGTGTGTTGAAATGGATTTATTGAACCAATCACATGCTTCTGTCATTTCTTATGTTATTTTGAAGAACGTTAGCATCCCAGTGTGTGTGTGTGTCTAGGGTTTGACACAGTCGAACAAACTACATTTGTTATACGTTTCATCCCACCCCACTCCCACTTTAATTTTGATAAGACTTGTGTTTCATTTCACATCACGATGATTTCACTTGAATAAGACAATCGGAACACTTGTGCATAGGAGTTACTAGAGGGTCAACCTGGTGTACCATACCGGGACAGACTCCTATTGTAACGACAGTTATACCCTAGTTATAGGAAAACAACACTCAAGAAAGAACACATACACTGTTGATTCAGATTTCTGGGCTAGAAAGTATGTAGCTGCCGAAAAAAATCCACGAACCCAATTCTACGGTTCTTGAAAAGTAAGTTCAAATCCAACTGCTGGACAGATTTCTCAGACCACCTGAAGAACGAATGTTTGTGACTGCTTCTCGTGTGGAACAGAATAGGGAAGAGGATGTACAGCCACACGCTTCGAAATCAATTGGCATTGATGTAGCACGCACGATCGATCCCATTTCCAAATCCAATCAAAACACACTAGCAGGAGGTTAACTGCGAGCAACGCAGTCCGCCCTCTTGCGCAACAATAGCGTCGTTCCAAAAGACCGCTCCCAATCCCTGGTCACTGGCCGATGCTCTCGGTGCACAAGTAGAACACACTCTCGGCAGCGAGGTTCTCCGTGGAGGGGTTTCTAAGCAATCCGAAAAACAGAGAAAGGATAGAAAAAATTTCAGGAACCCAAAAGGATCTAGCGAGACATGCACACGACTCATATTCGATTCGAACAGATTACACTCATACTTTATTAACAATCATATAGCAGAATAACACAGAACAAAGCAATGAATGGATGACAACAGAATTTTGGGTAATTTCTAATTTACCACTCTAGCGGAATTCCTTTTCAGAGAGACGCTTCGAATTATTTCAACGTATGTAATGAATTCAACCTGCTAATTTTGGTGTATTCATCACATTGTGCACCTACTGTGTATCGTAGAGAAAATTCATTTAGCTAAAAACTCTCGTAGTGCAATAATTCCAGAACGGATGGTTATTTTTACCAATAACGCTCAGAATGTGGTTACATTGCCATTCATGACACAAAATATCACATTTGGAACAAGTTTGCAGGATTCCCGCACACACAGACGGGATAGTTGAGGGAAAGGTCCACTATCAAGTGCACATTCTTGTTCTTAACGTTACCGAACAGTAGCAGTTTGCTCCAACAGGTCTTGTTTATTTTTGTTAATTAAAAGAAATTGCTGATCGCATCTTTTGGCATACTACTCACGTGTGAGTAGTGTCTCACAACAATAGGAGCAAGCTGAATGGTATAAAGCAAATACAAACTCTGGATAAAAGTACCGTAATTGCGTGATAACTATCTATGATGTATGTATATTTGTTTATTGGCAAGTGATTATATTTTTCCAGGAACTTTTTTTCCAAACTTTCAAATATTATTTGTTGTAACAGTATTAAAACCAAAAGGGATCAGAAATTTTGACAGTGTCAATAATGAAATCGTTTTCCCCCATTCATTTCTGAGTAAGAAGTGAACCGATGGTATAAATGCAGAATATGGGAAATAAACAGCTGTAGCACATACAGGATCAGTGTGAACTCTGAGTTCCACCCCAAAACATATCTTGTGCCAACCATCATTGCGGTCGCTTTGGTTCCTCTAATCAACACATGGCTATGTCAACTGGGCTGTTTCTTTGTGTTTGTGTGTGGCTGTTAGTGAGATGAATGATCAAAAGGCAGTCATAGCTATCGCTTCGGATTGAACTTCGTCGATTTCCGTACGCGCCACTTGATCTCAATACTTACGTCATACCGTCATGACATATACGCATCAGTGTGATACCATCTGATATCTATGCCAATAAAAAACGGCGGCTAGTTAAAATCAACCAATCGTTGGCTGACTAATATGTTTCAGGTGCTTGCTGGGCCAGTCAAGCACAGTAGTCGGTGATGAACGTTTCACAGACAGATTGTGTTAGCTCTTGAGGGGCTAAATAGTGTTTAAGTATAACATACATTCAGTCAAACAACGATTAATAAAAGGAAAAAAACACTGAAGAAAGACAAGAGCAAAGCTATCTATAGAATGTATTGCAAGGACGGCCAAAAGCTATATACTGCATACGCTAGAAAAGAGTTTTCAACAAGAGATCGTGAACACCAAATTACAGTCAATGGGTATGATCCACGATCATTGATTTCCTTTCACAAAGATCAATGGGGATCCGAATTTAACTTCCATTCAGTGAGAACTATTGTGCAAGCCTCCTAACCGCCTATCAATTCAATTAAACAGCCTAATAAAAATTATTTACGTGTTCCCATCATAAGAGTAATAAAAGCGGTCTTGACGGGACCCGAAATCGAGCTTGANGCTGAAGGAACCACATCCTTTTCTACGCTTGCGAGATGAACGATGAACCGTGGTTTTAAAACTGGGTTGGTGGGTGGGGAACGTACGGGGGAAAATGTCATAGAATGGGCAGAATAAACCACTGGATGGATGGATGGATGGATGGATGGATGGATGGATGGATGGATGGATGGATGGAGGGATGGATGGATGGATGGATGGATGGATGGATGGATGGATAGAACTGGAACACGGCCACGCTACAACCACTCAGTTTGTCATTTCTGTTTGTGCTGAAATGTTTGTCATCGAAACTGACCAAGTCTAAGTACAAATTGAAATGAATTTATCGCTCTGTCCGGTGATTTTTTTCATAATGAATTTTACTCCTCTTGCTTTGCAGGTATGCAAGCACAGAAACACGCCTGTCGTCCCCATTCATTCAGTATCCAAATTCAACTTGTCCCCCTCTCCCCCCTCCTAGCTAAAAGTAGCTCAAAATCAACGCGTTTCGTCCCCGCAAGCATCACATTTTGATAGAGCATAGCGCGTATCAGATGTTGATGTGATTGTTCTACTAATTGTCAAACATCTTTCCCACTATCCAATTCAGATAGCCATGAACACCTATAAATTGACGTATGTCTTTTGTGTATCCAGTAACATTAGACGAAGTAGTTCTAAACAAGCTATCATGTTTTTCGTAAACTACAGCTTACACTATGCAGGCGAGCCATGGAACAGTTTATCTGAACTTCCCCAAAGGATTTGAACGAGTAAACCACCAAATTATACCGCGAAAACTCTAAAATTACGAAGTAAGAGGTTTGGTTTTTGAATGGATCAAGGAGTCTCTCCTACAAAAAAAGCGCAGAAGTTAGGGTTTAGGAATCATTATCTGAACTTACTGCCGCTGTCCAAGGTGTTCCGCAAGGATCCGTGCTTGAGTCTCGTCATTTTCTTGCAGTTACAAACGACCTAACACATGTCCCTGGGACAAATAAATTACTCAGTGTCAAAAGTTCACTTGATTGCACACGTGTTGGAGTGGCGAAAGTGGGCCAGGGGAGATTAAGTGCTTGCACAAATTTATTCTGAGCGCACAAGGGGGGATTTTGAATCCGGAATACTTACAGCTTCGGCCGTGGTAAAGATTCGATGCTTCACTGCTCTCGATTGCCTACACCGAACCTTGTAAATCGGTCGAAACGCGCTTGCCACATCCATCGAGTGATTTGACTCAACGAGGTGCGAACACACCACGCTTGTAATGGTCTTAATTTTTCCAGTCCTCAGCCAAGCCGGGGGGGGGGTTCGCGAACGCGATCGGATAAGCGCCTGGTCGTGCGGCCAATGTACCCAGTTCCACAGGAACATGTGAATGAGTATTGTATGGTATGGTATTGTATTGTAATAACCTCTGCAAGTATGAATCCCACATTTCAGTTAAAAATATACCGTTTGGAGCAAGGGAGAAAATGAAAATAACAATGAAAAAAAAAGATTTAAGTTCAAAAACTGTTAACCAATTTTGTGAAAACCTGTTCTTTGTTAACAAGAATACGTGCTAATGAGGGTACTGTGGAGTTACGATAAATTTTTATTCTCTAGAGGGAACACAACGATATTGTGATCTAATTAAGGGATGGGAACAACAGGAAATTAGATCAGAGTGTAGCGGATGTGTGGAGTCGCTGAGAATCTTAAGCGCAAACTTTTCACATTCATTCAAATAACGTTCGCACAGGTTAGTTATCAACTCCTTTAGTGGGATTTAAGAGACACAGTTAATGATGGTCAATCCGCGTCGGAGAAAATTAAACACTTTCTTAAGGAGGTTGGAAAAAATAACATGGGAACAATAAAGTTGTAAATAATTGATTGTGGAATACGAAACTGACGAAGTTTACGGATATGAAAAGAAACTCGTCGAAGCTTACTGACGATGTTTCGAATGTGAGAG